ATATATATTCATACCTCTCTCTCTCTCTCTCTCTCTCTCTCTCTCTCTCTCTCTCTCTCTCTCTCTCTCTCTCTCTCTCTCTCTCTCTCTCTCTCTCTCGCTCTCTCTCTCTCTCTCTCTCTCTCTCTCTCTCTATATATATATATATATATATATATATATATATATATGTATATATACATATGCATATTGCAACCCAACAATATCTGTATCATATTACTAGATTCTACACAATTTATTTAATATTTCATGTCTGTTACATACGTGTGTTGTCTTTCCCCTTCCGTAAGAACTATGTATTGCTGTAACCCTTCGATGTTTATTACCGGTTGTCACATGCTAAATACGTGACATAGCAATCCTTACACCACTGTATGGAAATGACAGGCAGACTCTCTGTAGGGAGCTAAGGAGCAACCGGACTCCATCATTACTCTTCAATTAGGGAGTTATGATATCTTAGTTGTCTCACACACATAGACACAAACACACGTGTGTATATATGTGTGAGTGTGAGTATGTGTGTGTGAGTTTGAGTATGTATATGACTATGCGTGTGTGTGTGTATTTACACATATATGTAAGTATGTATACACTATATACACATTACATGCTAACTTTATAATCTTGCGAGTTAGTATTGGTATGCACAAACGTTTTTGGCAGAAAATAAATCATGTAAAAATAAATATGAGTCTATGTAATATATCTACTGTTAGTTGTCTCCATATGTGTTCTGTCACGTTCCCTCCAGTATGAAAGTTTTACATTAAAACTACAAATCTCTTTAATGAGAGAAAGGCCTCCACGTCTATCAAATCTGATAGTTATCCCTTGCATATTTCAAGGACACAACGTTTTCTGTTATGTCGTTCGTAAATTTCCTATTATTTGTTTTTTCAATTAGACACATATTTTTAGCGTTCTATCTAATAAATCTAAATACTATACATAAATATATTTCCATATAATATAATCTACTCATATGAAACAAGCAATGAGTAATTATTTTCTTATATTGTATTTTTTGCACGGTTTTATTCCGGCTAATACAGTGACGTTGTGGCAGAAAGAGAGAGACAGACGAGAAAATAGACAAAACAAGAAAGATAAGAACAAAGACCGCATTAGACAAAGAGAGGTGGGGGAAGGGGAAAGGGGGGGAAGGAGGATGAGAACAGATAACAGAGCCAAACGACGTCAGTTGTGAACAGAGAGGGAACAAGAGGCAGACGTCCCCTGCGGAACACCAGCCATGGCGGGTTGGTTATATTTTCATTTTTGTTCCTTAGCTATGTGTTTAATAAGTTTGTTATATTAGGAGGGAAATAAGATGAAACTTGATATGTCTAGAGTATGATTATAACTTTCTTGTCATACTGAAATAAGGAATGAGTTAGTTATGTCGATCTAGCGGTGTTGTTTTGTAGGATTATCTTTAATGCATTCATTATGAACCATTTTTTTAGTGGTAAGGAGAGTATGCACTTGAGAGCTTGATGAAGGCTCGCTGAATGCAACATATTTCATTGCACTTCAACAAATGGTTAGCACAGTAGTCGATAAAAAGTGAAAAAAAAAAACATTATAAGTGGTACTGCTTAACCTTACACCGGAAAAAAAAATATCAGCAGTTACAAAGACCAGTAAGTTCCATCAATTGTACCTTTTTCTTGCAGATTCGGAGTTTTTCTACGACCCGGCCAATTGGTCGGTTAGTAAACAAATGGTAGACGCATACGAGAAAAATGGATACGTTTTAGTCAGGCAAGTTTATACGGCTATTGAAATTACTTTTGTGTGTGTGTTAATATTTACTAATTGGTGTGTAAATAAACAACACACCAAAAGGATGAGGATATAATGTATAAATTAAAATCTGATTAATTTTCCATCCCCAGTTCAACAGCTTTTTGTAATATACTTACCCATTTCTCATAAAGAGTGGAGAACCTAATTATGGTGCTAATAGAAGGAACATTAAAAGTGCATGGATGTACAAATGAGAATTGATAACTTGGTGGTTCGGCATTTCATCATTAAGTTTCACATATAAGCAACTTATGTAGAAATGGATATGTAAATTGGCAGATAGATAAGAACTACCTATCGTCTGTAACCAAACGATATCATGTTTATATTGTGAACAATTGTGATCAAGATTTATTCTTCGAAGTGTTTCAGTTACATCTCTTGTTTTGTGAAGTTACCCATTCTCACCTGACAAAGTAAACTTCATGTAGAACAGTGGTTGATAAATTACTTCATGTATGTGTGTGTGTGTGCGTGCGTTCTATTGTATGTATGTATGTATATATACATGTATGTATGTATTACACACAACACACATATACATTTACATATACATATACATGCTACGCGTGTATGACTTATGACTAGCTATACAGAAGCTTTGGGAAAGATTACAGCATGCCAGTATAGATGTCAGTAACCTTATCGTTAGCACTGAAAATAGTAACAGTAATAACAGCAGCCGCCAGGCAGCCTTGGCCAGAGAACTAGATATTGTTATCGCCGAAGGGGCGGGAAGGGGGAGGAAGAAAAACCTGCTGTTGCTGGGGTTATTTATAATTAGTTCCTTTGGGTAGTGTCCTCAAGGATCGGTATGGTACACTAAGGTATAAACAGTGATAGTTAGTGCATAATACACACGCATGAATATACGAAGTTATAAGCACAGTAGTAAACACAGAAAAAAAACTAATCATAATACCCCCCCCCCCCCCCCGAAAAAAAAAAAAACAGGAACATGCTAAGCCAAGCCGAGATTCAGAAGCTCCGAACAGCCGTGGAGAGCAGCAAGGGAATCCAGAGGCACGCATACGGACGAAGCGACGGGGACAGAAAGAGTCGAATGTGTGTCTGGAATCACCCTGGGGACGACATCACGGGGGTCCTCGCTCGCTCTCCCAGGGTGGCGGGGACCATGCGGGAGGTAAGGGAGAAGGGTGAAGGGAGGGGAAGAGAGGGAGGGTGGATGGGGAAGAGTGGAAGAAGGGTGAAGGGAGGGTGGATGGGGAAGATTGGAAGAAGGGTGGAAGGAGGGGAAGAGGGAGAGGGTGGATGGGGAAGAGTGGAAGAAGGGGAAGAGAGGGAGGGTATGTAGGGAAGAGTGGAAGAAGGGAGAGGGATGGAGGAAGAGTGAAATAAGGGAGGGGGATGTGGGAGGAGTAGAAGGAGGGAGAGGGGAGAAGACCGGAAGGAAGGAGACGGGGAAGAGGGAAGAGTGGAAGGAGGGAGAGAGGAGAGTGGATGGAAGTATGAATGAAGGGGGAGAGAGGGGGAGGGGAAAGAGTGAAAGGGTGAAGGATGGGAGAGAGAAGAGTGAAAGGAGGGAGGGGGAAGAGGGCAGGGAAGAAGAGAGGGTATGAGTGAGGGAGAAGAGTACTGAGGGGATTAAGGGAGAAGCTGAGATGATAATAATGATGATATTAATACTGATAGATAACATATGATAATAATATTAATGATAATGATAAAAATGATAATTATGATAGATGATAGATAATAATAATAGTAACAATAATGATAATAATGACAATAATGATAAACAACAATAATGATAGTAACAACAATAATGATGATAAGGATTATGATAATAATAACAACTACAACAACAAAATGACAAAAATAATGTTATGATCCCCATTACCATCACCCTTGGCTTAACCAGTGGTGCTCACCCGGTGCGTCGGTGGGTTGTGGTGGGCTGGTGAGTGAGAAGGAGTTTGAGAAGCCTTGCGAAAAATACTGATGGTCAGTTTGCTAGGTGTTTGTTAGTGTTCATTTTGAGGGATATATTAAGAAGCCGTGCCTTTAAGGAATATTGTATTGTATTTTAGGTTGATAAAGCTTGTACAAAATGCTCCTTTTTGTTTTGTTTTTTATTAATTATTTATTTATTTTTGTCTGTCATTTCAGGAATCACGTGAACCAATAAGCGAAAAGTGACGGTATTTTGGATAAAAAAAAACACTTGAAACAGTTTAAAAAATGGAAAGGTTATCTTTTATATCTCAGTCAATTATTAATATTGCAAGTATGATTATAGTTTTGTTGTTACTGTTGTTGTTCTTTTTATGCATTTTGTAAGTTGTGATTTGGTTTATTATTGTTATTATCAATACTGATACTATTACTGTTATTACCACCACCACCGCTGCTACTGCTGCTATGACTCCCGCCGCTACTGCAAACTATCACTATCATGGCCTTAATTCTAGGGCCGAGCTAGAAGGGCCGATATAAGAATATACTAATTTTGAGATAAGTCTACCATCGTACTGGGATTTTTTGTTTCTGCAAGTGTTATAAGAACGAATGTCATCAGTTCATCAGGGACGCCACACAAGCATCGGTTCGATATTTATTTCACTGATAATCATACATCCCAACGCGTGACTGTCATAAATCGCTGCATTATGAATACTTAGCAATACTTTTTCAATTTGGCCGATTTTACTATTCTATGTCATTTCCATTATACAGGTAATAGATTTTGCAGTTACAGAAAGGAAAGAAAATGGTGTGAATGTTTTACAGATTTATTGTCAAGGGAAGTTTATTTATTTAATTTTTCCCATAGAATAGTAGATAAACGTTAGAAATCGAATTAGGAGGAATGGTTTAAACAACAACAGCAGTAAATGTCTTAATTCATTAGATAATCTGAAAAAAATGTAATTCTTGTTAAAAGCACTATCGTAAAAAAAATCGTTATGATTTTTTTCTTTTGTTATTTAAAAGAATGTGTTTAAAAGGATAATATTAATGCAACACAGTTTGAATAGTAACAGGAAAAAAAATCATGTACTATTATTTGAATCTCAACGAAGCAGACTTTCAAAGGCGTTTTTCTCAACATCGACTTTTGACTCTTGTTCTCAGCCCCAGAATCATAATCTTAATTTTCACTTAACGTTGTCATTTAACTAACATTATCTTACGTTGTAACTTCTCTTCCAGCTTATGGGCGGAGA